ACTAGATGGCCAAAAAACAACAGTAGGTTTTATCTGGAAAAGCTTGTTATGAAGCTGCTCCCCCAGATCGACTGCCAACTGACGTGAAGCCGTGTCTTGATTACAGGACCATAGTTCATAAATGGGCCAAACAAAGCTGTGACAGTGCCAGAGCACACATACTTAGTTGTGGTGTCAGCAAGCTCATTCCCGCGAATACCGATATGGCCAGGTATCCATAAAAACTGTATAGAAATAAAAGATAGAGAAAGATGGGTCATTCGTTCCTGAATATCGACGAGTAAAGGGTGAGAACTTGCGTTAAGTGATTCCACGGCCAATAGAGAGCTAAGAGAGTCAGTGTAAATAGTACAGTTAGTGTACTACTTAGCGTCTATGTGATCCAGAGCAAGAGAAATGGCATACAACTCGGCAGTGAACGCAGAAACTGTAAAGGGGATCCTATGAGCAACCATTGGGCCACAACAAACCATGGCAGAGCTCACAGAGTCACCTAACCATCCTCTCCAGGACCCTACAAAGATAATTAGTCAAAGCAATTGGATGATAATTAAAAGGAATCTTAGGATCCTTCCCAGGATTTAAAAAGGTAGAACAATCTGGAAAAAATTCTCCTGCCAGATCTGATTAAAAGAACCAACATGTCATAGTGAACATCACCAAGTCTGACTGGTGTACTGCCAGACTGATGAAGAGCAAGTTGAAGTGTCACCAGTGTAAAAGGGCAGTTATAGTCATATGGATGATCAGCCCGAAAGGTAAAAGGTGGTAGCTCTACTCGAGACTTGATGGCCAAGAAGGTGGGGGAAGAAACAGGAGTGCTGGGGAGATAAGCAAAGCTCTCTTAAAGAGTACTGACAATGCTGTGTACATCAGCAGCTTCCTGGCCATTGAAGAGTAAAATGGAAAGGGGATGGGAAAAATACTTCCCAATGACTTTCCGAATCTTGTCCCAGACGACTTTGGAACTGGCAGTAGAAGAGATGCTGGTGGTGAACTTAATCTAAGAATCTTTCTGGCTTTGACATCTGACCTGTTCAGCATGGGCATAGTCCCACTGGAAAATAATGCAGTTGAAAAGAGTGAGATACTTGTGAAAGTCATCCCAGGCCTGTTTCTGAGCCTTCTGTACCTGCTGTCAGGCAGGAGACCACCATAGACAAGGATGTCCATGGGAAACGAGTCGGGGTTTTAGGGATAGAATGAACAAATGCTTGAATCAGTAGTACCTCCATTCAATTGTTACTATATGGAAGACTAACGACAGCAGGATCAAGTTCCCAGATACTTGTGATGGATAGCCAGTCAGCCTGATCGAGTTTCCACTGTGGCACTCGGGTCGGGTGGCATCGACCACAGCCAATATCACCCTTAAAACTATGGGAAAATAATCACTGCCCCGTGGTTAAACTCTCGAAAAAAAAACTAGAAAAAAGTGAAGGGGAACAGATACATAAATCAATGGCAGTAAAAGACTGACTAGGTGCATGAAAATAGGTAAAGGCACCAGTATTGAAGGGAAAATAGTTGTGATCTGAGAGCACATGGTACACAGAATGACCCATCCCATCAATATCAGCACCACCCCAGAGGGGACTGTTTCCATTTCATCTTGGAAGACAGCAACTGTTCTATGAGAGCATCAAGGTGTGATTGAATGAAAGTTTTTCCTGGAGACATGTAAAGAGAATAAACAGTGATGGTATGGCCAACAGAGATACAGATGGCTACAACCTCCAAGGTCGTATGAAGTGGCACAGACAAGGTTAGGCCATGTTGGTCAACCAGCAGTGTCACACCTCCATGGACCTGACCATTATACAACCTGTAATTCTGGCATAAAGAAAACTGCCAAAAGGTAATAGTATCAGCAGGTCTCGGAAATGTTTCCTGTAAAGAGATATACACGGGATAATAGGAATTGATCAAGGCCTTAATGTCATCCAAATTAAAATGGAACCTCAACAGTTCCACTGTATCAAAATGACCATTTTTATTTAGGTAGAGGTGAATTGGGTGGAAGATCTTGGGACCACGACGTTTTTCTTTACCAGAAAGAGTTCTGTCGACCTCCATGGAACCTGACCTAGGTCGATTGGGCAGATCTATGTCAGTACAAGGAGATTCCAGTGACTGAGGGTGCGAATGAACAATAGTTCTGCATCTTGGGACCAAAGGAAATGGACCTGAGCAATCACTGGAAGCGATGGTAGGAACAGAGATAGGAGTATATGGAGCCTTCTTAACTGTACCATTCACAAAGGGCAAAAGACTCTTTACGTAATGAGAGGACTCCGTTGGAGGCATGGAAAGATCTGTCTACACTCCCACTGTAGCAGTGGAATGTAGTGCAGCAGCATATGTCCGAGATGGAGTTGGGGACTATAACTTCCGAGCCTCAGGATAAGAAATGTTATTGACAGTATGTAAACATTATGTCTCTTTTTCCTCCACCTACTTAGGGCAATTTCGATCATAAGATGGTTAGGAACCACCACAATTGATGCAGTGAGGGTACAGTTGACACTCGTAGGTGTCATGGTCTTTGCCCCCACAATGAGCACTCATCAAACAACCACGACAAGATGCCTTTGAATGTCAAAACTGCTGACACTGGAAACATCTGAGAGGGTTAGAAACATATGGCTAAACCTTAAACTTAAGATAACCTGCCTTTACACAGGGGGTGGACGTGGTGATCTTAATATTAAAATCAGAAAATTGGTCGGCAGCATAATTCCACCCTTGCGAGTGGAGATATGGTGCACAGCAGAAACTCCTTGGCTGGAGAAACCACCGATGATCTCCGACTCGTGGATGTTCTTCAAATCCTTCACAACAATAATTCTTCGTGAAGAGTTCAAAGTAGCATGGGGAGTAATCTCAATAGGTATAACCCCAAGGGCCTTTGATTTCAGGAAGAATTCTGTACGTGTTGGTGTAGATGTTTCCACCAAGATACCTCCAAATGCAACTGAGCAAGCCTCTCTAATCAAGATACAGGAACTAACTTGGGTGGTGAAAGTGTAACAGAGTCGTCTATGCATGGTCACTTACCTATTAATTGAGTTTTTATGAGTTCTTTAAAAGAAGGACTTACATTATCCATAATAAAATAAATAAGATTCGGTGCCCACTGACCCCACCCACCATGGAATCCTACGAGAAGACGCACTACAATGCCAAACAAGGACATTGTAGCAATGTCAGGGATTCGTGAGCACTATACCCAAACACCAGCATCAAATACAATGTCCACAACACCCGTTGAAAACGCCGAACACTGGTACTCAGTTGGCACTAGCTCAAAAGGACCAGCCAATTGACCCTGGGGGAGCCACTCCAATGCCACCCGTCTACAGGAATTGAAGTGGGATGTTGAAGCACGGCAAATACGTGGGTGAATTTTCAGATCTTAGAGGAGGAAAACTGAAAATACAGAACTTTCCATGGGAGATCCTGTCACTACTTATAGGAATCCACCTTGAGGGGATATGTATTTGGAAATGAAACTTTATAATTTAAAGGTGAATGTGTCCATTTTATGGTAAATTTTCAATTTGAATTTTTGGTTAATTATGCTGATATTTAAAACCAGACATAGGGCTCTATTTTCAATAAAAGAGCTTTTTCTAGAGTGAGAGCTCTAATTACTAAATTTGTTGTGTTATGTCAATAAAATCTTGTTAATTGGGAATAACAATGTCATCAATATATATCTAGAAGTGCAAGTGATGTGCAAGCTTTAATATAGTCTTTATTGGTAAGACTTGTGATGTGCAGTAATATATATATTTAACTTTTTTTTCTGTCGTTCAGTTTCCGTGTTATAGTGGTCCAGAAAGTACTTAATATTACTTTGTTTTAGTTGCTTCGTTTCTATATTCTCTATAGTAGGTGATGTCTTTTCTGAGCAAAATATTTAGCAGTGATATATATAACATCCGAATTAAAAGAATTGCCATGCAATATCCTTTGCTGGCCAGTTATGATGCTGACAAAGAAAATAGTTTACCTGTTGAATTCAAATACACTTTCCTTTGCCAGTTTCTACTAGGAAACTGCAAAATGAACTCTTATTTAAAGAACAGCGTGTTTTACTTCAATAGAGATAAATCCCGAGGAAGAGAAGAAGCTTTATCCAGCCTCATTATTTTGAATTTAATGAAATTCAGTCAAAGAATATTCTCTTTTTTTCTTGACCAAATCTGCCGTTATTAGTAGGTTTGCTTCTCTGATAGTGATATTTGTAAGGCAATCGTTTCACCTGAAAAAAACACATTGTTATGTGCGAAAATTGAAGTTCGAATAAATATAAATCTACAAGTAATCTCCCTTGGAATTTGTTGTAAGACATTTTGGCCAAATTGCAAAAATGTGTTAAGTAAAAAATACATGGAATGTAAGAATTTGTTTAATGTGAAACAGAGGTAATTTTTATGACTACATTACCATAAGAAGTTCTGTATTTACTAACGCAAAGTATTAATTTATTAGAATTAATTAAAACTTTGAAACTGTCGATAACACATTATTTTCAATTTTATCAATAGAAAGTCTTGTTAACAAGATTTCTACTGTCATAGCTTCAAAGCTTTTAACTTTCCCTTGCATTCAGTAAAGTTTCCAATGATTATAATCTGATTTAAATAGAGAAAATAATCGAAAAAGTTTTGAATAAACTATAGAACTTTTAGTTATATTTCCGGATTATCAATTGAATTTTTTTAGCTTCTCATGATTTTTATGCACAGTGCTGGGATTTCAAAACATCTTGAGTGGAAATATTAACGATTTATTATTTTTTTTTTTGTCCGCCGGTGGGTCAACGGTAAATCTATAGACTTACAACAATAAAATCCGGGGTTAAATTTCTTGCGGTGGACAAAGCGCAAATAACCCATTGTGTCACTTTGCGCTAAAAAATCAACCAACCAGTTCTTTCTATTTGTAAATTATTTACGTACCTTTCGTCATCCTGTTCATGGTCATGACAGTTAGATGGCGCTAAATTATTAACTGGTGTTGGAGAGTATTAGTCTAGAATAAGGAACGCCTAAAAGAAGCGAACTCTTTCTTTTTGTGAATTATTGCGTGCATTACGTTTCGTGTCCAACAGGGCTTAAAAGTATGTTTCACCAGTTTCATTCCTTTAAAATATTTAGTTGATTACATTTGAGGCTAAATTTAAACAATTTAGTTTTCTTTTCTATCATAAAATATGTATTTGATTACTCATAATTATCAAAGTAGAATTATGTGGTGTGAGATAGTTGCTATCTAGTTAAGCCTAAAACGAGTAAATCAGAAATAGGTTAATGATGTAAAAAAAAAATCTATTTGCATCTGTTTGTTTGCGTATTTTCGTTTTATACAAAATACTTTTACAGATTGTAGTAAGTTTAAGTTTGTTATGTAGTGTATTTTTTTTGTATTGTTTTAATTCATAAATTTTCATGTTCGAAATTTATGTCTCCAACATCACGTGGCATGATTTGTGGCAGCCATGTTAATGATAACTGTAAATAAAAAGAAAAGTAATTGTCTTTATATCGAGACACAGAAAATGCAATTGTGAACGAATGTAACATATTAATGTTCGTCGAGGGGTAGGAATCTGATTATAATATAAACTTTTTTTCTTGAGTGATCAAGACTACTAGGCTAATATGGTTTGTAGGTTCATTTTGGGAATTTGTCACAATATTTGGTTGGTGTATGGTATTGGTAATGAAAGAAAACTGTACAGAATTGTATAAATTTGCACTTACTGTTTCAGCTGTAGTTCTGGTATTTATAAAATATGAAAAAGTATGGCTTGAAGTTAAAAGTAAAGGGTTTAGCACAAATCTGATCCGTTTGTAAATTGTAAAGGTAAGTAATGTAAAAGAATGGAATAAATGTAATACATCCAAGGGTATTGTAAACATCTATACTCGTATATTTATAATCTAAACATGTGAAAACTTGAAATGTAAAGTTTTAAGCTGTATTAGCAGAAACTATCAGAAAAGTCAACTTTTGTTATATATACAGGTGCTAGAGATGTTACAAATACTTATCCTTAAAATCATGGCTGAAAGGTCAATAAAAAAAATATATATAGGTGTATAATGTTGTGAGATTTAAGCTATTTAGACAAATCATTTGTTTTTATAATTTGTAATTATTCTAGAATGAAAAAAAAAGAAGTTGTACCTATTTCCTAATTCTTTATGGGGGTTACAAGGTCAATCAAATTGACTAAATCTCTAGATACAATAGTGAAAATAACCTAACTTAGTTTTTCTAATAAAAAAAAAACAATCAAAGAAAAATGATCTTTAATTACCTGGAGGTTATGAAGATTTCTCAAGTGAAATTTGAAAATTTTCTGATGTGTAAAGGTATTTTTCATCTTAAAATCAAAGTTACTTTACATGTTGGATAGTCAACATTCTAAAAAAAAAAATGCAAGAGTAAATCATTACCTAAATTTTAAAATTTGATATTTAATATTTGAAAGCCTTGTAATGTATACTGATAACCTGCAAAATTTCATGAAGATATGCTTACTGTATTATGTTATAGCATAAAAATGTAGTACAAAATGGTTAAAGGGTCAGTCCCTGAGATTGAGTCCATAGTGAAAGAGTTAAAGTTAATAATTACAATTTATTTAATAAAGTTCAAAATGTAACAACTGTTCATGAAACTGAAAATATATTATAAAGATTGTCTGGACCACCAGTGTTGTATCTTAGCTGGCCTGATGAGCCTTGTAATGGGCAAAAGACCTTCACACTAGTTGTAGCAGATGTATTATAACATTTTCTTTACCTAGTCTTACGTTCTTAGAGATACACTGAAAACAAATGACACCTCATCTGCTTTAATTAGTTAAGCTCAAAAAGCAATGTATTTGCATGAGAAGAAAATAGATTACTGGTTAAGTGTTAGACTGCTGAGATATTATTTCAAGATTTCCCATCAACTAATGAACATGAAGCATTTATTTGAATAAGGCAAAGTTGAAAAACAATATACATGTTTAGCATCCCTGCCTGCATCCTTTATTAAAGCTTCCTCCAATTTTTTGGTCATTTTTTTTTCTTTTTTGAATTATAATTTTTTGATCATACAAAGAAGACTTCTGAATAAAAAGTGAGATGAACACAGGTGATTCATTTTGCTCTTTCTTTATGTCAAGTATAAAATTACCCATGCTCTGCTGCATGATTTACAATGTGCCAATTCTTTAACACTTCAGATGGGTCAAAAGCCATGTCATCATATTTGTTGACTCGCGTTTAAAGTTTAATTGAACTACTGTTTCATGAATTTATGTCAATAACTTTGTTATCAAATTTTAGTATTATACATTATTCAATTTCTTAATTTAAAAGTAAATATTAAAAAAATGGTTAAACAGATTTTTGTATCACATGGTATGTTGAATGCAGCACTGGTTCAAATTAGATGTTTGTAATGTCAAAATACTAAGTCTGTAGTAGAAATTAGGAACTCAAACTACCAATTTTGACAAGCTAGAATATAAAATAAAAACCTTTTATCTTTTCTATTTACTGAGATATCACTGATGTACTGAATCACACACAGTGGACCCACCCACCTTTCCATTTTTAGAAAGTCCCTTGTATACACTTGCTTCAATATATGACATGAATAACTATTCAAAAGCTCAGAATGTCCCCCTAGTGGCTCAGTCATTTTCGTGTGTTAGGATGCCATCTCGTTCTTTCAAACCAAGATTTCAAGGAGGTGGGCTGTGTCTTTAGTCTGTTCGAAATTTCATATTTTTTAGCCCCAATTACAGCTCAGTTACTAAGCTTGATAGATTATAG